AAATGTCAGTAAACAGCTCGAAATAAATCAAAATATTTTAAAAATGTTATCAAATATAAAAAATGCCTTTATATATAACATTCAGTGAAAATTCAAGTATCTGCGATCACTTTTTTTTTAGAGTTCACCAAAATGAGAAAATCGCTAAATGTGAAATCCGGCCGGAACCTAACCTAACCGAAACAAATAGACGAAAAACAAGTATTTTATTTTATTTACAGTTAAACAATTTCTATTGGTTAGTTGGTTAAATGAAKCCTGAAGTTAAATTTAAAATTAATTTATAGAMAATTTGATAAAAATATAAGAGCTCTTAGATCCTCGAGAAGAAATTRTTTATAACTGCGGTCGTAGAACAATTACATTTCTAGATATTTACTTTAATACTTTCTGACCTTCATGGTAACCGATCAAGTTATCTATAGAAACCTTTTGCCCACTATTTTTTTTCAACAGCTTGAGTTTAAGGAGATATGCCAATGGCCAATGTATAATATGCTAACGTGTAGTTTGACATACTTGACGTATAGTAAGACATACTTGACGTACATACGTCAAGATTGTATCATTAAAATCAGTGCCACTGCATGTCCGCGATGTTTATAGCACCTACACTTTCCTAGTGGCTAGTACAATAATATAGGTAATTAAATAATATTGTAAAAAAGAACACTTAAGAGTGTGGCAGCCAGCAGCAAACGCAATACTCCAAAAATATTACGTTTGCAGCCCRRAGGCAACATAGGTAWACCAACYTACCTAAGGATAATAATTAATATACAAACTATACAATAGGTAGTTTATAACTAGCCAAMTATACTCATAATTATAAATATCTGAATAATTTGACATCAAACGTGCATTTATACTCGTGTATTTAGATATACTRACCAAACAGTAAATAGCKACCAATATAAGGTACCTACTCTGCTGTACAGTAAGTGTCGAATACTGGAATGTACTTACCCGTCATCGAATATGGATATTAATATTATTAATGGATATTATGTTAAATTTGAATTCAATGAAGC